AATATATATATATATTATATTTCTAATTTGAAAAACAGACATAAGACAACAGCCATGAGCTGCTCTGCTCTAATACAGAAGAACGCCAAACCAGAATGGGATTTTACCCTCTTTTATATTTTACTCATTCCATCAGTGTCATCTTAACAGCACAAACAACTGACGTTTTTGCCTGTCCCCCACTTGTTGTTCTAGAGTACTAGTTTTTGCTAGGGGAACTGTCATTCTTTTTCTTTCTGCTCTTGTATGGATAATCATCTTCTGGGGAAGCACAAGTGATTTTAAATCCAGAACACTAACACAACGTAGCACTCCAGTGAGAAACAGAATTTCTCAAGGCTGACTGATGAAGATGCAAGATTTCAAAGTACTTGTGGGAAAAGGGGAATGGGGAAAGGTAGTTGCAAATTCTAACTTTAGATGTCTAAATTGGAGATTGTGGATTGCTCTCCAACACACCTCTCTTTCCTCATTTCCTATACAAAGGCTATAGGAGCGCTAAATGGCGCCACATGACTAATAGGGCCCATCTAAACAGAAAATGCTACTTACATTAATCACATTAAACCTAGCACTCGACTTCAGGTTTTCATATTTAATATTGATCTATATGACAAAAAAAGTGACAACATGCCTTGCAGATTTCTTAAGCAACTAGCATTTATAATCATGACAAGAAAATGCGGTTCCAAAGGAAAAACAAATCATCTATGTTTAAAAATTAACCATTATAAAGATGACAAATTGAAAAGCAAAAGAACATAGAGACTAAAAAGCAACAGGAGTTGACAACATGAGCGAAGCCAAGTTCTTTAAAGAACAGTCCATACTGAACACACAATCTTCCCCAAATAGTTAAAGTGCACAATATCTAAATACGCAAGAAGCAAATCTTTCATAATAATCATAAGCATTCTGAAATGTTAAGGTCTGGGGGGGAGGGTTGCATTTTAAAAAGCTTTGACTCGAAAGGCCTTTTTTCCCCCACTGTGCCTTTTTTGAAATACAATCCTGACACCTTTTAAGTCCAAATTTCTGAGTCCAGTATCATATCCCTTAAAATCCTCATACAGAATCTATGAGGAAAGTAGCTTTTTGCTTTCTGTCTTGCAGCAAGACGCAGTCCTGAAATATGAGTGTCATGGTACCACTATCAAACTGATTGTTTCCAGTTACTTTGGCTGCTAAAAAGTTACAGTTGAAGAAACCTAGATATTCAGAAATTTTCAGCCTTCTTCCCTCCCTTGAGCTCAATTTCCAGTTCTTTCAGGTACAGTACTGCCTCAGAAAGTAATACAAGACAACCCAAAACCTATTCTTATCAAGGGTGACTGGAATCATAAATATGTAGACTATTTTGCTAGTAGCTAAAAGCTGCCAGTTTCTCATACGCTTGCTGGCCCTCAATTTAAGCTGATTTCCTTTGAGAAACAAGGTGACTTTGGGGGATCTGGGCTACAGCCTTTCTTTTCACTCACATCGGATGTCAGGTTCTACTCTTCCAACCTCCTCAGGGACTACATTCACCTTCACTAAGCTCCATGCAATCCCTCCACCAGGTGAGCATCCCAGATCCCTGAATAAAATGTCTAGACCCGTTCTACCACTATGTGGAATGCTAGGGGAAGATACAAAAGCTAGTGCTCAAACTGCTTCCTAGGTATTTAACTCTGTATGAGAGCACAAAGCAGTTGCTTTCTAAGCAAAGGTGTTAGGTGTTATGTTGGTAAAAATGATTCCACATGGACCCACTACTGAAGTAAAAGAACACCTTTATAAATAGCCTACTACTTCATAAATACGTGTAACAATTGTGACGTGAACTTACTTTCAAAATTTACCCAACTATATCAGAATGTGGGAAGCGGGCAGGAAACAGGACATCAGAGCTTTCCTCCTCAAGCTTCTTTCATAAGTCACCCGATAATAAGAAAAAGAACAGTCAGTATGGACTTTCTGGACTGTCCTATGAGTAAAGATTTTTATCAAAGTCAGAAACCTCTGAAAATAGAAGTTAATAATGCAGCATTAAGCCCCTGGTAAACTTCATTGCTAGGTAACAGAAAGATACTGCTAACGTAGTACAATTAAATTATAACGCTATACTTAATTTATAGCACTAAAAATCAGCTTTTTTCATATACTTCCTTCAAATTCACGGACTGAAAAAAAGAAATAAGCTGCATTTATCAAGTGAACTGTGCTCAGTTATAATTCTTACAAATCTGAGCAAACAGGAAAATAGAGAAGGTGCACTGTTCCAGCAGCAGCAGAGAGGATGTTTTGCTACTGCGCAGAGTAGGCGGTAGACATGTTCTTGTCCCATCACTTCAGAAGAGGCAACAATGAAACCGTCTAGCTGTGCAAGTGTTGAACACCTATGTAAGAACCACCCTCCACACACCACTGATCTACGCCAGTACAATTATTGGAAGATAGGTGGCAAACTGGACCAGAGAACTGTTCCTAATTAAAAATTATATGAGTTTTTTCTTTTTGGGTTTTGGATGTAGTAATATAGTCAAGACCTTTCCATTCACAATTAAAGCCTACAAAAAATTAAAGCAGAAAAACAAACAGAAGTGGTCAAAAAGAAGTATATCATGAAAAGGCGAATCTCTAAAGTAAATCATAGCTCGTAACTTTATGCACAAGTGTACATACTCACATTTACACAACTTTATTCTGTTCTTTCAACTTCAGGTGAGAATGGATCTAACATCTGTGAGGCACAGGAGCACAACCAGTGCCACACACTGATAGAGTTGCACCACACTGATTAGCTATATTTGCTAAGCACCACCAAGCTGGTGGTTTTGCCCAATATTTAACAGTGCCCTACGGACATATGCACTTGCTCAGACTTCACTTGGGGAACTCTGCACCTCACCACATTCACACTGTAGGCTTCCTCTTACTCCCCTCTACTCTGCAAGAAGTAAACGTTGAACTTTGTGAAGGTTACTTGCTCTTCCATTCCCCTCCCACAGGAATATACAAACAGTATGACAGTCTTATTAAAAAGATTATTGTATGTAATTCAGGAAGGTATACCCAAAAAAGCTCAAACTTTTCTACGGGGGGGGGGGGGGGAACGACATTCCAGGTTTGCTACTAAACTTCAACAAAGGAGAAAAAGAGAGGGAGAGACATTTTAAATTTAATTTAAAATTGGAACATGAAGTCAGAGGCATGGCTTTCTAAAATCTACCATTGCCGTTCTTTAAATATTATTAAAATAGGACATACAATCAGGCTGTGATATAAAACAGTCATTTGAATGCAAATCCTGTTTATACGCAACAATTTTCCAAATCATAACCATTAGTCCTCATGTCCTCAATCAGTTCCAAGAAGTGTCTCTGTATGCAAATATTGTTCTGTACAAGTAAGTGAACTCAGATTAACAGCATATTACAGCAAAGGAGTTCCCTTTGCAAGCAATAAGGCCAAGCAGTTGCAGAAGTCTGCCCTGTAGCATTTGATATCTGTCAGCACCTTTACACATATAGAAATGTTTTATCTTTGCCTCTCTAATATATACAGCGTGTAAACCATTTCAAACCATGGAAATATAATTGCACTTCCTTAAGTATAGCATCCATCTTTTTTTAAAAAGGTTTAACGTGACATTTATTGTTAAGCAACGTAATTAAGTGCCATGTGGTTCTGTGTATTTTCGCTTGCTCAGAAACACCATGAACACCGCTTACTTTAATCAATCGCTCTGTTTACATGACAATTCGTAATCAAAATATCACATATGCATTCTGGAGTAAGGGTCCCAAACACCAAGTTTCACTTGAGGTACAGATAAAGATGCATTTCTGTTGAGGAATGAAGCCTGAGTGTTCTCTGTGCATGAGGCAGCAATGACAGAACGTTAGCACAGAAGAAGGATTGCTACTTGTGGTTTTGAAGTAATCCTGGTGTTTGGTAAATAAGAGCAAATAAAGAATATCTTCTGTTATTAGGAGGAATACATGCAGAGTTTCAATCAAGCAGCACTGCAGGTGCAGATTTGGC